AAATATATATATATATATATATATATATATATATATATATATATAAATGAGTGTATATATTTAAATTAGATTAAATTAGATTATATAGATTGGACACGAGGTGAATCCATATTCCATCCAACTATATATAGATTAAATTTTGAATTGAAATTCAGACAATAGGATAATGTTTGCAGCCCTAAGTTTACATCCCTAAATGTGAGTCCAATTGCTATACTTGTTAGACATGAGAAATATATTTTGGGCTTCTGGTCCTTACAATTGTGTTAGCAGTTCAGCATTTGTGAAGCTACAATCCACCTTAATAGTGCTATATTTTGGGCTTTTGGCACACAAAAAAAAATGTATATTTGTGACGTTTGACAAACGTCACCAATGATGGCACAAATGTTTTCGTGACGTTTGCACCCTTGTCACCAAATGCATTGTCCACAAAAGTTTGTGTGATGTTTAGTTTAGTTATTGTGACATTTTTTCAAGTCACCAATGCATAGTTTTGGTGACATTTATTTGTTTATTTTTATGATGTTTCCAAGAGTTACCCAGGCGCAATTTTGGTGACATTTGTTTATTTTCATGACGTTTGTGAAACATTATGAAAAATACCACTTTTAGTGACATTTCACAGTCGTCACTAAAAGTTCGTGATGTAATATTTGGTGTATGCTGCAAGGGGTATTTTGGTATTTTTCTTCCTTTTTTAAGTTGTACGGTCGCCCTAGTATATAGAGTTTTCTCTCAATTTCTTTCTCTCATATCCCCTTCTCTTCTCCTTCTCTCCTCTTCGCCCACTGCTCTGTTGATTGGAACATGGTATCAGAGCAGGACAGTGCTCTGTAAATCCTCTCCTACAAGTTGAAACTCTTTCCTACGCCTTTGGACTGAGAAGTGGAAGAGACACACACAAACTCCATTTGAAGACTGTTCGTTCTTGTCCTGCTCCTGTTTTTGGGACTGCAATTGATTCATACGAGACCCAGAGGCCAATGGATGACTGACTGAATCTCCCTAAGAGGTCAATGCTCTCTTCCTGTGTTTTTTTGTTGCTCCTGGGTTGGAAACTACAGAGACCCTGGACTGAAAACGAACAAAAGCTTAAACCACCCTTTTTTTTAGTTCTTGGTGTTGAAACCAAGAACTAATTAAGCTATTCTGCTTGACCGAATGATATAAAGGAAGTTTATCCCTCTTCATGGGTGTGAGGACCCAATAATCTTCATGTTTGAGGAATCTTGGTAGGTCATAAGTGACCTGGTTCGACTGGCAGAAGGTAGCAACCTCTTTAAATGTTTTCTATAGTTCATATTGCCTTAAGAAGACACCTCTTAGGTCTGTGAAAATCTGAGACAGCAAGGACTATGCTCTATTTTTAGCATTTTTTTTTGTATTTACCTAGTTGGGTAAGGACTGTAATCAATTTGTGTTTGCTGCCTTCACTTGGCTCTAATGAATTTTGAAGAGTCTACAACTTCAGAAACTACCTCACATCAAGGAGGGATGTCTGGTGGTTATGAGACCCTGCACTTTCCTATAACCATTACCCCCTTGGATGGAAGAAACTACTTAGCTTGGTCCAAGGAGATGCGATTGTACATCACTGATAGGGGTAAGGCTGGATATATAACTGGGAAGACAAAGGAACCTAAAGCTAGTACTGCTGAATATGATAAGTGGGACTAGGAAAATTGCATGATAATGTCTTGGTTCTTGACCTCAATGCTGACATTTATCAAGCAAAATTTCATGTGGGTTGAGACAACAAAAGAAATTTGGGATTAAGCCAAGGCAACATATTAAGAACAGAGACACTATGCACGGATTTATTAGCTGCAAGCTGAATCTTCAACATGCAAACAAGGTGAGATGAGTTTATCAGCCTACTACTTTGCTCTCACATCTGTCTGGAAGGAATTAGACTACTACCAAACCATTGAATGGGAAAGTGAGAAAGATGCCAAGGCCTACAAACAGTTGGTCTCCCAGCAACGGGTGTTTACTTTCGTTCTTGGCCTTAACCCCATGTATAAGCCTATTTGGGTACAGATTTTGGGTACCAAGGATCTCTTATCTATTCAAGAGGTGTATGCTTTAGTTCAGTTTGAGGGGAGTAGGAGGTCTGCTATGAATCCTCCTAAGGGGGAGACCATAGCTTTAACCGTAAGAAATAACACTAATTCAGCTAGGAAGGGGGAAAATAAAAAAAAGGTGGATGATAAGGATAATTTGCAATGCACTCACTGTCAAAAGTCTAGACACACCTGTGAGACATGTTCCAAACTGCATGGAAAACCGAAATGGGCATAGGAACTCAACAAGAAATTTGCAACAGAATAGAACAAGAAGCTAAATCAGAAGAAGTCCACCTCTGCCAATCTTGCCTCACAAGAGTCTCTGGATTGTCCCTCTAGTTCAGAATCTAAGGAAAATATTATCAGCTCCTTCTATAACCATTTGGAGCAGTATGGTAGGACTATCAAACAAATAGATTCTAGACCTGCACCTTCTACCTCATTTGCTTCTTCCTCAGGTAACATAACCTCTGCTTTTCATATGACTATTGATCCTCTGGAGTCTCCGTTGATTATTGATTATGGTGCCTCCAACCATATGACTGGTAAGTCAACTTTGTTTTAGTCATATACCCTTCTATCTGGAAAAGATAAAGTGAGACTTGTTGATAGATCCCTCTCCTCCATTGTTGGTCGAGGATCTATCTTTACCTTTTGGTCTCTCATTACAAAATATTTTGCATGTCCCACAAATGCCTATTAATTTGTTATCCATCAGTAGTATTACACATGCTTTGAACTGCTCAATAACCTTCCTTCTTGACTCTTGTGTTTTTCAGGATTTGGCTTTCGAGAGGACGATTAGTAGAGGGAGAATGGTCGATGGCCTCTATGTTCTAGAGAATAAAGTTGGTCTTGTAGTTTCAGAGTCTTTGAGTCAGTCTAGTAATAGTCAAGTTTTTTTGTGGCACCACCGTTTGGGTCATATGTCTTTTAAGTCTTTGAAGTACTTATTTCTAGATTTATTTAAGTCTTTTTTGTCAATGATTTTCAGTGTCAAGTGTGTCTGCCAATTAAGCAAGCACTGTAGAACCTCGTTTCCTTTACGTAATAAAATATCGGATTTTCCTTCCATATTGTGTACTTTGATGATTGGGGACATGTGAATATTCCAACTGAGAATGGCTATAAGTACTTTATTTCTTTTATTGATGACTTTTCATAATTCACTTGGGTGTATCCTATGCACTCACGAGAAGAAGTTCCTAAACTTGTGAAAGATTTTCAACGAATGGTCTACACCCAATTTCAGGAAGAGATTCAGGTCTTTCAATCAGATATGCCAAGGAGTATTTTCATGGAGACCTCTCCAACTTCTTTACATCTTGTGGGTCTATTCACAAGAGCTCATGTGCAAGGACTCCTCAACAAAATGGGGTTGTAGAGAGAAAAAACCCTCACATCTTAGAAGTTGCTCGGGGACTCTTGTTGTAGATGCAAGTTCCAAAAAGATTTTGCTTGGATGCTATTATGACTGCCACATATATTATCAACAGGATGCCCTCTCGGTTTTTAGAATTTAGGTTCCCTCACCAGCTCCTCTTCCCCAAGGCACCAATGTTTCCCATACCCATGCATGTCTTTGGATGCCAGTGCTTCGTCCATGATATTTCCCCTACCTGGGGTAAACTTGATCCTAAGGCTATTATGTGTATTTTTCTTGGATATCCCCTTTCTCAAAAGGGTTATCGTTGTTTTGATCCAGTCTCAAGGAAATATTTTGTCTTTATGGATGTCTTGTTCTTTGAAAATGTTTCATTCTTTTCTGTTTCCCCTCAAGGGGAGAATCTTGGTGAAGAGAAACAGAAACGGACTCCAGTCTTGTTGCCTTCCCCACCTGACCCTCCTCCACTTTGTGTCTTTTGGAGACAACGTTATAAATGTCAAGGCCAACATAATTCAATAACCAAGGGACAGCCTGAGACTATGCAATCAGTGCCATCGGATTTCCAGGAGTTGAATCAATGCCCTCACCTAGGTACTATTATTCTTGTTCAAACTCCTGAACCCATTGACATTGACACTTCAAATTGTGATATAAACCTTCCTATTAAAAAAATGAAGGGGGTTAGGTCATGCACCAGACACCATTCCATGGCTCAATTCTTATCCTATGGAAATGTCTCACCTTCATTTCGTGCTTTTCTATCTAAAATTGATAATGTCTCAGTTCTTAAAAGTGTCACAAATGCTCTCCTTTCTCCTAAGTAGGCAGAGGCTATGAAGGAAGAAATCAATGCCCTCCACAAAAATGACACATGGGAGCTAGTGGATCTTCCCGAGGGAAAGGAACCTGTAGAGTGCAAATGGGTGTTCTCTATGAAACACAAGGCAGACAATACAATTGAGTGATACAAGGCTAGATTGGTTGAAAAGGGTTTTACACAAGTGTATAGTGTTGACTATGTTGAGACTTTTGCACCTGTGGCAAAAATGATTTCTATCCTGGTTCTTATCATTTTGGCGGAAAACCTAGATTGAGAGCTTCATCAACTAAACATTAAATATGCCTTCTTGAATGAGGATTTGGAAGAGAAAGTATACATGACTCAACCTCCTAGTTTTTGTGCTAAGGGTAAAGAGCAAAAAGTGTGCAGATTAAAGAAATCCTTATACGGCCTAAAACAATCACCAAGGGCTTGGTTTAGCAAATTTCACCAGGCAGTTCAACAAATGGGGTTCAAACAATGCCAATCTGAACACACACTCTCTGTGAAAAAGGAACAAGGGAAACCAGCAACTCTGATTGTTTATGTGGATGATATTGTCATTACCGGTGACTGGGTCTCAAAGATACAAAGGTTAAAAATGTTCCTAACTACACAATTTGAAGTGAAGGATCTAGGTCCATTGCGTTACTTCCTTGGAATTGAAGTGGCCCGCTCCTAACAGGGCATCTTCATCTCTTAGAGGAAGTACACCCTAGATCTCATGAAAGATACAAGAAAACTTGGGGCCAAACTTGCCAATACTCGTATAGATGTGAATCATAAACTTGGGGACTATGGTGGTGAGCTTTTAGAGGATCCAAAGCAGTACCAAAGGCTTGTGGGGAGACTACTCTATTTATCCATGACTAGGCCTAACATAGCATATGCTGTGGGGGTTCTTAGCCAGTTTATGCATGCTTCTAAGGTAGCACATCTGGAAGTGGTAGACAGGGTGCTGAGATATTTGAAGAAATTCCTAGGGACAGGCCTATTATTCAAGAAACATGGGCATATGAGAGTTGAGATTTACATTGATGCTGATTGGGCTGACTCGGTAGATGACGGGAAATCCACCAGTGATTATTATACCTTTGTAGGGGAAATCTTGTTACTTGGAGGAGTAAGAAACAAAGTGTGGTTGCCCGAACCAGTGTAGAGATGGAATATAGGGTCATGTCACATGGAGTTGCAGAACTACTCTGGATCAAGAACCTTTTAAGTGAATTGGGTTTCCAAGCTAAAGACCTTATGTCACTCTATTGTGACAACAAAGCAGCTATCAACATTGCTACAAATCCAGTTCTCTAGGATAGAACCAAGCATATTGAAGTTGATAAACATTTTATCAGAGACAAGCTTGAGAAAGGAGAAATTTGCACCCCTTACATCAGCTCAGAGGAACAACTTGTAGATGTCTTTACTAAGGGATTGAATTCCTTGCACCATTATAATCTATGTGACAAGTTAGGGATAATTGACATCTATGCCCCAACTTGAGGGGGAGTGATCTAATATTTGGTGTATGCTATAAGGGGCATTTTGGTTTTTTTCTTCCTTTTTTAAGTTGTACAATCATCCTAGTATATATAATAAAAATACTGGCGCCACCAATATAAGTTTGAGTTTTCTCTCAATTTCTTTCTCTCTTCTCCTCTTCTCGTTGCCCACTGCTCTGTTGATTGGAATAGTTTTCAAGAGTCACCCATGTGCAATTTTGGTGACATTTATTTGTTTATTTTCGTGACGTTTTTTAAAACATCACAATATCCTGTTTTGGTGACATTTGTTTAAATGTCACCAAAAACCTTGGTGGCTAGAAACACCTCCGCTTGTATGTTTGTCACTTTGGTAGACATAAACACAAATATAAAGGAACTAAATATCCTTTACTTCTACTTTTTTCACACTTCCATTCAGTCTATGACAGGTGCCCCCTTACACTTTACTTCATAGTTGGATTATCTTATTTCTTTTTCTTTCACATATGAGGAAAGAAACTAAAACTCTCCATGAGCCTCTAACTGGTAATTCATGATTGGGTTCCACTTTCACAAGTTTCAACAGAGGTTTCATCACTGTTGATGACAAAGGGCCTTAGCCCAATAGCAAAGATGTGGAGTAAGGATGCCAATGAGGTGGTCCAATTGGTTTATCTTTCTTACCCAAATCCAAGCCCATTGATTGCCAAAACTTTACCAATCAGATCTGTCTATTAGATAGGGGATTATATGGATGGATGAAATGTGTACTCCCCAATCCACATCAGTCCTACACTACCTACCCGCCTCTTTCTCAAAGTGATACAAAAGCTCCAAAGTTCATGGGCCGGGTAGCCCGACGGCCCGGCCTGGCCCGGCCCGCACCCCAGCCAGGCTTGTCATATTATTAGGCCCACGGACCTGACCTCGGGCCTTACATAGTAAGCCCGACTGTATTTCAGGTCGGACTCGGTATTTAATGAATGATATAGATTAATTTAAAAATATATCCAACAAGAACTATATCCATTTGAGGCCTTGTAGGCTCTTGTTTTTAGTAAGCCTGCCTCTCTCTCATGAGCAAAATGCTACTACATTTAACATGATTCACTTGTAACAATACTTTACATTTGGCAAATATTTAGCACATTTGAAGTTTAAACCTCTTATTCTGTATGCATAGCTGATAGCCCAACTAAAGTTCAAAATATAAGCAACAAAGACTATCATTAAGGTAAGAAATGGATACTCATCATGAATAACATAAATCTAAGGTTGAAACAGATATGARWAAGGYGGAAACAAAAATTTTCAATAATCAGAGGCCCTTTCAAGAGTAGGGTTGACAGCAAAGGGCTGATTGGTAAGAGTAGGGATCTTTGTTGCAAATGAAAGTTAAGAGGGCTAATTCCCATGCTACAAAGCAAACATAGATTTCAGGTCTGAAAATYTTTACTCATTGTAACAAATTCATGGTGGAATCACATGAAAAATTTCAGAATTGATTGCTCAATTAAACAGTAGAATATATCATATGCAAACAAAGCAAGGTTCAGGCCATTCTTTTTTTTCTTTATGGATAATATTCAGGAAACAAGGACTAAGAGAGCTGAAATGATATGAAATTTGGCTCAAGCCCATTTTAACTAAATGGGCTGAAATTTACTCTTGGGTTCGACTTATATCACTGATATTTCTTGTAGGATTCAAGAAGAAGCCTTTCACCTAAGGAATKCTTTTTAAACAAGTGGATTGGTGTCAGCCGGAAGTTGGGAACTTGTGCTGATAAAAAGTAAATTTGAAGAAATTGAGGTTTGAATCCATTCTAGTCTGACCACAAATAAATGGCAGATCCATATTCAAAAGAATGAGAGATGAAAGTACTTTTTATTAAAAAAGTGGTGAACTTGGATG